CGTCCTGCGGCGCGGCTACCAGACGGAGAGGGGCGTCTACGGCTGCCCGCCGAGGACGCCCACGAGCCGGGAGCACCCGGACGGCCCGGCGCGCACCCCAGGTCTGGGCCTCGGAGGGGGCGCTGCATGAGGCTGTTGCAGGAGGGTGTCGGGGTCCGGGAAGCAAGCCACCGGCCCTTGAGTGTGGGCGCGCCCGTTAGAGAGTTAGGGACACCGGGTGTGGGCATGGGTGTTTTCAGGGTCGCGGTCACCCCTTGTTTAGCCTCTGTAAGTGGGGATCCCTGAGATCTGGGATTCAGCGTTGGTTCAGTCTCCCCTTCCTAATTCTGACTTGGTTTTAGGAAGCACTTTCTTTCCCTTTTACTGAATTAGCCCATATGTGTAGCTCATGCAGTTTACAACCATATTGGGGCGTGATTACATGTATATATTACAGCTCGATTTTTAAAATCCCCTTTCTTTTCCTTCCCCCTCCCTCCTCCTCTGGTTCCCCGACTTGTTGATATTATTTGTTTTAGCGCAAGTTATGGCCCATCATGTTTACATTGATCCGGGTTATTCGGTTCCTGTACTTGGCTATCTTTTATTCTCCTCATAACCCCGTCCTCCCTCCTCGTTCCCTTGGACCCTCTCCCTGTCGGTCAAGATCTGTGCCCCTGTCCCGTTCTACCCATTTTGTATCCTTTCTGTTTGTACTTTGCCCCACTCAGCTGAGGGATACTCTTCGTGACTGAATGTGTGGGAGTTGTGCTCTGTGAGGGGGTGGGGCTGTAGGAAAAGAGAAGTCCTAGGAGTTCCGGGCCCTGGAGTTCCCCAAAGGATACTTTCCAGGACCGGAGCCAAAGCTGTGTGCCTGGAGCTGAGCGGAGCAGAGGCCGTTCTGCAGGTCTTCGACGGTGTTACTGTTCCTCTCCTTGACCTAGCTACACTTCCACTCTAACTTGGGAATTTGAAACTCTGCTGAATTTAGATCCGCGTCTTGGCAGGTGGTTTTCATGGAATGGGGGACTTGGAATTTTTCATTGCGCACATGTGTAAAAGACTAATGTTGCATATTTGGTTTATGCTAAAGTTATTTGGTTTTCATCCATCCTCACAGATAGTAGATGAGTACAGCCTGGTTGTTAGAGAAAGCATTTGAAACTTTGATCCAATGATTAGGTGAATGTTGATAGACCGCCTTTATGTAAGCATCCGACCTTTGAATCTTACATCACACACTGGGCCCTCAGTATTTTGCTCTTCATCCTAGGGGACAATTAAAATAAACCTCATTTCTCTTTTGTGTGCATTTTTTTAAAAAAAACAAAGCATTTTGGCCAACCAGATTTCAGTCCTTTGATTTAGGTATTTTATTTCACTTTGCAAATGAGTGTTTAGAATTTTCCCCCTGGTGTTGGGGCGGGAACCCAGGGCTTTCTCTCCCACTGAGCCATATCTCCTGCCCCCTGGAAGTTTTTGTCAGTTGTTCCCAGACTGAGATGTGTATTAAAAGTGATTAAATGTTTACAGTGTCCGTTCCAGGATGTGACTCCCTCTCCCGGGGTTCTGATTCAGGGATCCGAGGGGAGGCTCAGGAATATGGTCTGTTTGCACCTTTCTCTGTGGTGCACGGGAACCCGATGAAAAGCCTCCTCCAAGCCTGGTGAGCGCTGCAGCCTTGAGCTACACTTCCAGCCCAGCAATTTGTATTTTTTGGGGGGGTACCGGAGATCGAACTCTGGACCTTGCGCTGGCAAGGCAGGCGGAGGCACCACTGAGCTAAATCCCCTGCCCAGGCATCCATTTTTACCCCCGCATCCCACCCGCTTCTCTCACCAAGGTTCTTGGCCACACTTGGCCAACTCTTCTGGTCAGAAAGGTGCGCATGCAGGACAAGTTAACAGTGCCGTCTTCGCTTCAGGTCGTGCTGCTGTGCGCTCGGTGCTGTTCTGTGGCCCTCCTTTGGGGTCTTCCCTCACAAGAGGCTGATTTCTTATTCCGAGCCTGGCAGATGAATGCTGTGTTGATAGAGGCTGAAAGATCTTCTCAGAATCATCTTGGCAGCTCTGGGCTGGTGTGTTTTGAGAACTCTCTGTGTAGCTGATTTATATCTAACCTTTCCTCTTTCCTCATCACCAGAGACCGGCTTGGCCCCAGTAGGAGTAAACTTCTCTATTGTGAGCTGCTTGGTGAACTCTGAAAACTCGACATTGAATTAGAACTGGAGGTCAGGGCTTCAGTCTTGTGAGTCCCTGGAAGGAAAGAGTATAATCCTGCTGGAAACAACTGTCTGTGGCAGGATCTGGTTTAAGCAATTTTGTTGCTGGGCTGGGGATTTAGCTCAGTGGTGCCCCTGCCTGCCTCGCAAGCACAAGGTCCTGAGTTTGATCCTGGTACCGGAAAAAAATGTTTTTTGTTGCTAAGAGTAATACATTTATTTTCATTTTCCTTATTTTTTTGAATAGGCAAATAGTATCCTATTTGTAAATCACCATTACGTGTAGATCTGTGAGGTTTTTTTTTTTATTCTCTATCAGATAATTTTGTCAGAACTCGTGTGTGTGGGGGGCACTGGAGATTGATCCCAGTGCCTTTATACTGAGCTACATCTCTAGTCTTTTTTCTTTTAATTTTGAGATAATGTTTAAGTCCCTAAATTGTCTAATCTGAGCTTGAAGTTGGGATCCTCCTGCCTCAGCCTCCCGGGATACTGAGATTACAGGCATATTCCATTATCAGAGATCTTCTGGTAGATTATTAATTATCTTCTACTAGGCTGTGTGGGAGAAAGCGGGGAGGAGTGTTGCTCATAAGATTTCCAATCCATTGTGTTGGCCAGAATGTGGTTAGCATCTCTGCCTGTCTGCAAAGGAGGCTGGAAAGCACTGTCTTACCCAGAGTGACCACGTACTAACTGAAGATTATCTTGCGAGAAGAGAAAGTTAGGTATTTAAAAAACAGCTGCAATGGTGGCTCTGTCCTCTACCCCTTTGTTCTCTGCTGTGTGTTCTCCTCTCGAAATCTAGCTCAGAGTCGCTGTCTCTGGACATTGTGCATCCCTGCCAGGGTGGCTGTGGCCAGCCGGAGCTTCCACGTGCTCCGCATACACCTTGAGTCTATAGGAAGACTCTCCCGCTCCTTAGGAAGAGTGAGAGGTGCAGAGGGTCAGAGGTTCTAACCAGGTAGTATCCCCATGGGGGGAAGGTGACAGCTGTCAGATGCAGGGCTTATTCAGCCCTCTCTGCCTTCTGTCCAAAACTAGGGGTAGCTTTGCCCATGGAGTTTTTGGATCTGTTCCTTCAGTGGTCATAGCTGACGTGGCAGTGGAGAGTATAACCTCCTTTGAGGTTATCCACCACCTGCTTTATTTTGATAAGGTCAGGAGCGTGAAGGAGACCTTGGGATCATCAACTTGAGTTTTCGTTTTGTTTTTCTGGCCAGAGTTGGGGTTTCTTTGGCAGCACTGTTTCCTCCTAGACATCATAGGTCTGTAGTGTTTGTCTGTGGCCATCCACGGACGAGTTGCCACAGCCAGTGATCTCATCCATAAAGATGTTAAGCCTGAAAAGTAAAGTTTTCTATTTTCTTGCTCCCTGAATTTAATGGCATTTCCCCCTGAGACTGCCTGAGGTATGGGCTGGAGTGCAAAATCAGCACCCTTTATTTCTTGTTTAAGGCCACACTTGCTCCCCTTGTGTAAAGAATGCTGTAGCAGGTAACTCCGTCTGAAGGAGGGTTGAGTCTGTTCAGCCTCTCCAGAACCACTTTTTTTGTTTTTGTTTTATTTTTCAGGGAATTGAATTCAAGACCTGACACATGTTAAACAAGCACCTACCAGGGAGCTGCACCCCAGCTGAGGTTGACCTCTCCCAAGTGCTTTTAATTTTTTTCACCGTTGCCAAGCTCGGCCTTCTAGGCCCTGAGATCACAGGTGGAAGCAGAGCTGACTGTCTCCTCATCCCTGTTTGCTGACTACGTAGCTCCCCCTTGATGTCATCTTTCTCGTTAAATAAAAATAGCCTTTTCTGTATGCGGTTCACCTGTGACGTTTAGTTACATTTGCATTTTGCTTTGAACCCTAAGACTATCCAGAGAGGAGGCTGTCATATACTGAGCAACTCACTGTTACTATGCTTTTTGCTGAGAAGATGGTTAAGACTTCCTGGGTTTTTCCTGAAGCTCTGTACACATGTTTCTTAGGGTTCATTGTTTTCACTGGAGAGGGAGCATGATGAGGCCAAGGACGTGGTTTGAATGGCTCTGGCCTTCTCCTTGACATCTGCCAGTTGTCACGAAAGGCCCCATATCGGCCAAGAGGAGCAGTGGGTTGGTGTGAGGATCGCCCTTGTAACTTTTTGGTGTTGGCACAGCCGTTGAGGGACAACCCTGCTGGGAATGACACATCGGAAGTGACACAGTAGAATCAGGGTCTTCGCCCTTCTTCGGCCTTCTTCTTCCTTCACATGTTTATCTTGGCTAAAATCAGTTTCTCCCTAGGATGACCACGTCACTCGCTAAACCTTCCCCTGTATTAAGTTGTAAATAAATATTGACTCTGCTTTCAGTAACCTTTTGGTTTCACCGGTTAAAAAATTGACCCGTGGTAAGTGTTCTTCCTGCTAGGTATTAATAACACCTTGCACTTTAATCTATAAACATCAATCGCCAAGTAACCTTTCTATATTACATTATTAATATATATATATATATTTTAATATATATTACATTTGAATTTCTTTATCAAAAGTCCCAACTTAAAATGGAAGTGGGGGTGTAGCTTAGTGGTAGAGTGGATGAGTAGCATGTGTGAAGCCCTGGGTAGTAACCCCAACACCACAAAAAAAGATAATAATAAATACTTAGGAGACTGAAGCAGGAGGATTGCAAGTTGGAGCCCAGCCTGGGCAACTTAGTGAATCCCTATCTCAAAATTTAGAAAAGTGAAAAGGGCTGGGGATGTAGCTTGCTGCTTCCGGGGTTCAGAACTCACTACAGCCAAACAAGAATAATAGAATAAAATAATAGATTTTAAAAATTGAAGTGAGTTTAGGAATGCTGATTCACAGGTATAAATTTCATCACGCGAGATTTGGGGTGTCAGGAAAACAAACAGCAGGATGTAGTCTGCCAGGAGGTACCCTAGAAGCCATCAGATGGCAAATGCGGTTTAGAATGGTTGCTAGCTGGTGGTTACAGCTTCTTCACTGAGCTTTGGTGGTTGAAGTGAGACCCGGAGCCCTTACTGGAGTCATAGGGAAAAAGAGGAAGATGTGACTGCCATTGAGATTTTTAAAAATATAGATACATAACTACACCAGCGTTTACTGTAAATGCCAGGTTTAGTTTAAATTATATGGCCATGACTTCATGCCAACTAACAGGAACACTTTTCTTCCTGGAAACAAAAACTATTCAGTGACCCCCACCATATTTATTTGTAGCAGAGAATAAAGTAATTGATGTTGGTAGATATTCCTACCATGGTTTTTAAAAAACATGCTTATATTAGCTGAGATTGTTTTGTTCAGAAGCAAAAGAAACCAATTAAGGCTATTTTAAGCAAACAGGGATTTTAGTTGAAAGATACAAGAGTAGAGGTGTCCCTCCACGACTTGGGTGGGAAGTAAACCAAAGATGACTGTGAGAACACTGACATTTTATGGATCTAGCTAGCTGCTATGCTGAGGCAAATGTCTCTCGTACGTATTCAGTACATCTCCTCGCTAATTCTGTGATAAGCAAAGAGGTATGCTTTGGACGTACATAGAGTACAAACTCAAGCACATGTGTGGCTCTAAACTAATTCCATGGCCCTATTTGTTTATAAAATAGGGGAAGTTTGGGGGGTTCTGAATATATACGGATTTTTTAACTGCTCAAAAAACGGTCACCCTCAGTAGTAGATCTGTTGATTTTTAGGGTTTTATGGGGAGTTTTTGTAAGAATACTTCAACAGACTGAAAGTTCATTGAATGTGAGCATGAAGAATCTTTCAAATTTTAAAACTTTCATATGGACAAGGAAGGAAAAACATCTTTTGGCCCAATATAAAATTCTCTGAGACACTAGGAATATACATCCTGGGTCACAGATCTTGAGGAGACACCCAAGTCTGCATAAAACCCCGACCCTAACCATGACCCCCCCTCTGTCGGGAGGGCCTTCTCTGTGCTGTGTGTGTACATTTTAAATTCTTCCTCTCAAAAAAAAAAGTCTAAGAGAGAATTGGATTCATTCATTGAAAGGCAAAGGGGGAGCAAACAATCACTCATCTTTGACTTTCTGGTGGGATTTCTTTTCATTCTATGGGTGACAAATAATTATGGTCTTAGTCTACAGTTTTATAAAATAACTATACCTGGAGTCTTTAAAAAACAGGGCAATGTAACATTGATTTTCTAGTTTTACCTATTTCCATTTAGTAATGTACGGTATAAAAGATAACAAGGATCTCACATAACAAGGAAAGAAAGAGGACAGCAAATATAACCTCAGCATTTCAGCAGTAATTTTCAATTTTTGGTGTTTCCTTCTAATATTTATTCATCTTTATTTGTGGCCCTATCTCCTCTATTTTTTTTTAGTTTGTGTGTGTGTGTGTTTGTGGGATACATGTAAGGAAATAGGTGTGTTTACTGTATTCTAATGGTCTTTAATCTGAAAACTAGTGGCAGAGGTGGATACTAGACACATGTTGAAAACATGTAAGGCTGCATTGTCTTTGAAAGCTGTGTTTTTAGTCTTCAGACTTCTCCTCAACTACCCCGTCTCCTTCCCTCGGTTTAGCTGACCACGGCCTCGCTAGGCTGGTGACGGCGTACTGTGAGCATGGCCACAAAGCTGCTCAGCTCAACCCGCTCTTCTCTGGCTGCACCCCGCTAGATGCCATCCCTGAAATCCAGACCCTTGTGCACAGTCTGCAGGGACCTTTCTGTACCGCAGGTAAGGGGGCTTTGAGGAGGAGACCGCCGAGCTGGGGTGCCTGCCGGGCCTGAAGAACTGGGGACCTGAGGGGGTGGAGGCTTCTGTGCAGTGACCAAGGAGGGGCAGCTCTGGAAGGGTCTGAAAGGCTTTGGAAGGTTCTGGAAGGGTCTGAAGGGATCTGTTTCCTCTGCATTCAGAACATACTGAACTTCCATTCTGTGCCACCTGCTTTACATCTCATCACTTTCACAAGCACCCTGAACATAGTTGTCACCTGTGCTCTACAGAATGGGGAAATAGACGCAGAGAATGTGAGGAACTTGTAGCTACCAAGTCGCTGCTGTAGGGTGACCATCACGTCTGCTTCCATTCCGAAGCCTGCACTCCTCTGATTTTCTCTCCTAACCCCAGAAGTAACAAACCAAAACAAAACAAAAATGGGACTTAGACCTGGATCACTGGTCACAATCTTGGGCTCCTGTCTCTTATTTATTTGTGGTGCTATGGATGGAAGGGAACCACAGGGTACAAACACTCATCACTGAGCTGCATGCCTATTTTCAGTTAATGTGTGACCATTGGCCCAGTTCCAGAACATGTTGTCACCCCACAAGGAAACCCTGTACTCATTAAGCAGTCACTTGTCGTTCTGCTGTCCCTCAGGACCTGGCAACCACGAATCCACTGCCTGTCTCTGGAGGTTTGCCTACTGTGGACATTTCATGTTATTGGAATCATACATGTTGTGGCCGTTTGTGCCTGGCTTTTACTCCATGTAATGTTTTCAAGGTTCACCTGGGTTATGGTGTGAATCAGCCCTTTCTTATGCGGCTGAATAATATTCTATTTTATGGCTGTATTACAGTATGTTTATTCTGTCATCCATCCTTGGACATTTGAGTTCTTACTTCATTTAATCTTCATAATTGTCACTCCCTGAGTTACTTTGATTGTCCCTACTTTACAGATTAAAAGTGAGATTATACAACAGTAAGAGGTTATATACCACACAAAGCTTTTTTTTTTCTTCGTATTTTTGTTGTTGTACTGGGGATAGAACCCAGGGCCTTCCCACTGAGCTACATCCCCAACTCGTCTTTAAATTTTTTATTCTGAGGCAAGGTGTCGCTAGGTTGCTTTGTAATCCAGGCTGGGCTTGAACTTTCAGTCCTCCTGCCTCAGCTTCCCAGAGTGCTGGGGTTACAGGTGTGCCCCAGTGCTGCTGGCTGCAAAGCAACTTTTGTGAAATGAATAGTCAACCAGTATTGAAGATCTAAACACATGATTGTAGGAAACCATTAGCAACATAAAGTAAAATGTTTTGTTAAACTGGAGTTGTAGGAGGGGGCAAGTTACTGATAACTATTGCCACACAGAGACTGCTTCTCTCTTTGGCTGATATTCGAGAATATTTCCTTTACTTTAAGGTGTTGCCTTGTTATTAATATTAATCCATATTCAACTTCACATCAAGTTGAACTGTTCATTGATACATATTGCATTATGATATCAAAAAGATGAACATTGGCAGATTCAGACAGGATATATGAGTTGTAGTTGTAAGGTGAATGGAAGGTAGGTTTCAAATTGTGATATTATTATTATCTCTTTATTTTTTGGTGGTGGGGCTGAGGATCAAACCCAGAGCCTCATATTTGTTAAGCAAGTGTTCGTGTCGTGGAAGGAATTGGTAAGTGACACACGCAGAGACACAGAATGGATGTAAAATAACAAGGGTTTATTTTGTTGACAAAAGGCTGATTGCACCCAAAAGTAGTGTTGGAGATCGACCCCCACCGCTGGGTTACAGCTCCTTGTTTTATAGGGTTTTACAGCCATGATCTCATGGAGGTGGTTACACTTCATTCTCTCAGTTCACATTACTTATATACAAATCATGGTCACAAGACAGTTAACTTTCACCCAAATGTAGCAATTCTTTGTAGTTAGGGGAGTTTACCTTTAAGATTCGCCTAGCTATATCTATCATACTCCATAGTAAGGCAGTGTTCAGGGTCAGGAAAACAAATGTTAAGAAGGGTTCTTTTCATCTTGACACTTTTATAATCCTGTGGTTTATAGAACTTTGGAGCTTAGGGTCTTGATGTGTCCTATTATCTCAGGATGAGGCCAGATGCCTTGTTCAGTAGTTAATGCCTCCAGTGTCTGTTAATTCTGAACTCAGCAAAGCAAACTGCTGTTAGAGACAGCAGAGGTTATTTTACATCGTGAGATTTTGTAGGTTTTGCTATTTATAAGAGTTTTATCTATCACTCAACCACTGAGCTGCATCCCAGCTCTTTAAAAAAATATTTTAAACAATTTTGAAGCAGCCTTGCTGAGTTGGCTAGGCTAGTCTGGAATGTGTGATCCTCTTGCCTCAGCCTCCCAGGCAGCTAGGATTACAAGAGTGCATCACTATGCATGGCTTTCATGTTTTTGTTTTGTTGTCATTGTCGTGTGTGTAGTCCTGAGGATCAGACCTAGGACCTGTAGTGTTGAGGATCAACACGCTAGGCTAAAGCTCTGCCACTGAGCCTTCAAATTCTAGTTTGAAAGTATTATAGAATTGAAACTTAGAACAAAGCAGCAAGGTCCTATCTTTGTGGAAATAAAGTGATTTTTCCTCTCCTTGGTTTCCTAGTTCATAGCCTTTCTGTCTAGTTCATAGACAATATTTTTAGTTTTGCCTTTAGAAAGAAATTTAAACAGGACCGAGGGTCAAGCTCAGAGGTACAGCCCTTTTGCTATGTGAAAGAGGCCCCAAGTCCCACCCTCAGTACGGGAAGGGAAGGAGGGAGGAGGAGGGAGAGAAATCCAAGTAAGTGTTGCTGGTGGCTCGGGTCATTGACAGTGAAGTGCTGTTGAGGTGAAGGGGTGACAGAATTTTGGTGGGCTCCAGAATTACATGCTGCACCATCGACCATTCTTTAAAATGATGTCTCTGATTCTCCTAGGGTTTCTGGACATGGGGAAGGAAGAGGCCTCTCTGGAGGAGGTGTTGGGCTACCTCAACCAAATCTTCTGTGGGCCAATGGCGATCGAAACTGCCCAGCTTCTGAGCCAGGTAGAGAAAGACTGGTTTGCCAAGCGGTTTGAGAAGCTGAAAAAGGAGACATTTACCCCAGAAGAGCGAAGACATCTATTGAAACTAATGCTAGAATCTCAGGTATGAAAGTAGCAGCTCCTATCAGTGGAGTAGATAACTCATTTCCAGCGGAAATACAGTATACAGCTATCGACAAGAGGGCATTTGGACCCTAACCCTGAGTTTAGGCGCCCTCCTGCCTCACTGCTTCATCAGACGATGGGACACACGCCACTTTATTTTGAACAGATCACCAGACATTTGAGCAATTGATTCTCCTGAGTCCAAGTCATTTTGCTGGGTGTGGTGGGGTTCACCTATAATCCTAGTACTATGGGAGGCTGAGGCAGGAAGATCACAAGTTCCATCCCAGTCTGGGCAATTTAGAAATTTAGCAAGATGCTGTTTCAAAATTAAGAATTAAAAAAAAGGACTGTGGATGTAGCTCAGTGTGAAGGCTCTTGATTCATTGCCCAGTATTGGAAAAAAAAAATAAAATCTTTAATATTTTACTTCTTTTTATTCTCCAAAGTGGTCCGAATACTGTGTGCATGGAAGATACTCTCAGTGCAGATTGGTGGAACCAGGTTCTGCCGTGGAGCAGGACGGGAAGGCTCTTCCCGATGGGGCAGGCCTTGGATAGTGTTCAGTCTTGATGAAAATGCTGGGGTTCCTCTGCCAAAACCACAGTCCTGCGAGGGGCTGCGGCTACCTCGGCTGCCCCCTCACCTGCACAGGCCTCCAGCAGGTGTTACTACCTACAGCAGTGCAGGTGCCTTGTTCTGCAGCTCAGGTTGTCCTCACCCTGTCTGGTTCTCTCTGGGGCCTCATCAGAGCCCCTGGATGGCTGGCATCTCCCTGGAACGCCACCTGCTGAGGGCCCTGCTGGCCCCGGGCCATGTGACTCCCCTCCCAGCAAAGAAGCCCTTTCGCCTTCCTCCAAGCAGCTGGCCTCTCTAACCCGATGACCCACAGGAGTTCGACCACTTTTTGGCCACCAAGTTTGCCACAGTGAAGCGATACGGAGGCGAAGGAGCTGAAAGCATGATGGGCTTCTTCCATGAGCTGCTGAGGATGTCAGCGCACAGCGGGGTGACCGACGTGATCATTGGGATGCCCCACCGCGGGAGGCTGAACCTCCTCACAGGCCTCCTTCACCTGCCCCCGGAGGTAAGGCTTCTGTCAGAACAGCGCTGACCCTGTGCTTCCTGTGTCAGCAGTTGGTCCAGGACATGCCTCTGTGAGTGGACGGAAGTTAATGCTGACAGAGAGTAATGGATTAATTTCTTGTACATTCTATTTTTTGAGACAAATCTCACTACTTAGTCCAGGCTGGCCTTGAACTCACCATGTAGCGCAGGCTGGCTTTGAACCTGTGGTGATGCTCCTATCTCGGCCTCCTGTGTGCTGGGATAATGTGTGTGCCACCATGCCCAGTACATTCTTCTATAGGTTATTGTACTAAAAGTAATAATGCATTGATATATCGAGAGCCCCAAAATCTGTGACTTGAGCTCACTGGTAGAACACTTGCCTAGCAGGTGCAGGGCCTGGGTTCAGTCCCAGCAGAGAGAGTAGGGGGCCCTGCAGTATTCGTAAGTAATTGGATTTTGGTGTTCCTGTTGGTCTAACCCAGCTGTTCTGTAAATCACAAAAGATTGAATCAAGAATGAAGCTATTTGTGTTACATAACATCACAGAGATCTGATATTTAATCCACTTTGCATGTAAAATGTTAATGCTGTTCTAGGATAGGAGACTGAAAATGAGTATAAATGTTGAAAAGTTGGTGAAAGTTAGGTGTGGTGAACAGAGATCCTGGCGTGATTTATGTCTTCACCTGAAGACCTGGAAAATATGCGGTGTTGGAAGGGTGTTGTGGGCAGGTTGGAGTCCCACTTCCTGGGACTCTGTGGCAGAAGGAGCACTTGAGTCCAGGAGTTCAGGTCAGCCTGGGCAATAGAGCAAGACCTGGTCCCTTAAAACACATACACTCACATGCGCGCACACACACACGCATGTACACACACACTTGCACACATGTATTCACACATATTCTCAAGTCTGTGGGCCAAATTCACCAGTTTTACTCATACTTCAGTTCTGATATTAATACACTGCTAATCAGCTTTTAATCTACCTTGGAAAAAATAGAATATGAGACTAAAAAGATTGCAGAGAGCCATGTATTTCAAGAAATGTGGACATTCTTAGACCAAAAGTTACATTTCTAAAATTTCCCACACAAAATGTGCAGAAATGATTATGAATTATCATGTTTGTGAGAAACATGTGCCTGCACTGTGTGAGTATATATATTCCATTTTTAGGTAGGTTGATAAACAGCTTTTGGAAACTGAAGAAAATTTTGGATCAAACAGTTTGGATACTCTAAAATAACATGGTGATTTTAGCACATGCCTTGCTTTGGGACTCAGCTTTATTATTTAGTAGCTAAGGACCTTTAACAATTTAGCTATCTTTCATTTTCAAAATGGGTGACACCATTGTCCAGAAGACTGAGAGAGAAGTGGGAGGAGGTGCACAGAGAGAGCTTGGAACTGGGTGGCATGGGCTTTACCTCTGTCCTTAGTGGAGCATGTCCATCCTCCTCTCTCTACGGGAGATATGTTCGATCCTGTTCCAGACCTCCCCACCTTTAACAAAACTAATATGGAGATCTTTTGGCAAATGCATTCTAACAGGTGTGTTTTTTAAAAGTTGTTTAAGCCAGGTGTGGTGGCACATACCTCTAATCCCTGTACTCAGGAGGTTGAGGCAGGAGGATTGCTGCGAGTTCTGGGCCAACCTGAGCTACATGGTGAGTTCAAGACCAGCCTTGAACTAACTTGTCTCAAAAATGAAAAACCCCACAAAATTTGTCTAGATTACTGCAAGGCAGAGGTTATTTGCTATTTGTCTCAAATAAGACCCCCTTAAAATGTTAGCACTAGATTCAGAAACTTTTTAAAAGTTCAGAGAAACCCAGCAGTTAGAAGTCTGTGCCTATCTTTAATCCATGTTTGTAATAATTGCAAAAAGATTTACATAGCACTTATTGTGTTATTTAAGTCGACTACTTTCTAGTGTGCATTCTGACAAAAGACACTCTTACTTGTATGGTTGTCCATAATAGCTAATGTTCCGTAAAATGTGCGGCCTAAGCGAATTTCCAGAACATTCTATGGCCACTGGAGACGTCCTGTCTCACCTGACCTCCTCTGTGGACCTGGACTTTGGTGCATACCGCCCCGTCCATGTGACATTGCTGCCCAATCCCTCACACCTTGAAGCCGTGAACCCTGTGGCTGTTGGGAAAACCCGGGGCCGGCAGCAGGCTCGACAGGATGGGGACTACTCTGCAGATGGCGCCGCTAGGCCTGGGGACAGAGTCCTTTGCCTGCAGGTACTTGGGGAGAGGGAGGCAAGAGGTTGGGAGAACCTGGAAGAAAGAGCGTCTGGGTGTGTACATCTAACAGGATTGCAGACATCAAGAGGGAAGCAAAGTGATAATTTTGGGGAAAAGAAGAGTCAGGGGTGCTTTTAAATGATCATTGCAGATGTGACATCTGGTCTCGAGGAGGGTGATTTAGCCTGGGGTTCCCATTGCATTTTTCCTTTATTGGTGTGTGAATTAATCGATGGGTATCAGCTGCAGGTGTGAACTTTGCTGTGCCGAAGCTTTCAGTTCAGTATAATCCATTGTTGACTCTTCATATTAATTCCTTGTGCCATGGGACTCCTGTTCAGGAAGTGTTTGCCTAAGCTGATAGCTTCTAGTGTTTCCCCTGTTCCGTCTTCCAGCAGTTTCAGTGTTTCTCTTTGTCCATCTAGGTCTTTAATCCATTTTGATTTGATTTGAGTACAGATGTGTCTAGGTCCAGTCTTTTGCTTGTGGGTTGCCCGTTTTCCCAGCATTTTGGTAAAGAGGCTGTCTTTTCTCCAGCCTGTCTGTTCAGCCCCTTTGTCAAAGACCAGATGGGTAAGGTGCATGGGGAAGGTTTCTGTGTCTGATCCTCTGCCATCTCGTTTCTATTTGTGCTGGTACCGTGTTGTTTTTGTTACTGTAGGTTCACAGTGTGACTTGCAGTCTGGAACTGTGACACCTCCTGCTTTGCTCTTTTTGCCCAGGATAGCATCCTTCTCATTCCATATAGATTTTAGGGTCAGGGAAAGGGATCAGAGGAAGGGAGGAGACTAGAAGTGAAGAGAGGTGGGGAAAGGGGGTGGAAATGATGGAGATAGGACATATATGTGCTGATTCCCCTACCAAATATTACATACCACAAACAGACCAATAAACGAAAGGGGTGAGTCAGAGGAAGCCGGACAGAAACAGCTAGGAAAGAACACGCTCCTGAGGCCCACTCTTGTGTAGTGACCAGTGCGTGTGTTGCACACGGATGCACAAAGGTGAAAACACATAGCAGATATCCAGGGACAGACAAGGGCAGGGGAAGGGAGGACAGAGAAAGAAGGAAAGGAAGTGGGGAGGGAAGGTGGAGGGATGGGAAGCCAGCTTCATCTTTCCTCATGAGGGCTGATTTGTGCCTCTGCCCAGATGGCGTGACAACAGTTTTACTGGTAGCAAAGAAAGAAAGAGAGGGAGAGAGGGAGGGACTGATGGACCGATGTGGCTACTTCTCCGAAACCCTGGCTCTCCAGGAATTTATGTTGTTTGCATACATGGAACAAGGCTACAAAGGCGAAAGGTCCCCTCACCCGGGTGTCGAGTGCAGCAGTGCAGGGCAGCACAAGCTCTGCTCTCAGTAAGCGCTGATTCTCTCAGACGCCACACAGTGGGTTTGCAAGGTGTGGACTGGAATTCACTAAGGTGATGGAGTGCTTCGTTACTTAAGCTTTAAAAATGCTTCACTTCTATGAAAATGACTCTGCTCTGTGGCGTTTTTTAAAAACCTACTTCCAGGCACTGTTTCTTCATTCACATTTGGTCTTTCACCGCTGCTGTTCTTAGAGCCAAAGTTTCCCTCACCTTAGGGAGATGAGATCATTTTTTTCGGTTCAGCATTTTAGCTGTACTTGCCAATCCCCTTTCAGCACGAACTCAGTAGAGTTCCTGTTTTCTTCCAAGGTCTTGTAAGATCTATGATGCCCTCATAATTTGGTTTAGGTGTTTAGGAAAAAAAATGCCTCTTCTATGCCAGCTTCTCCGTTAGATTTTGTGGTGATCTTCTAAATTGTAGAATGTTCTGTAAGAATAGCACATTTTCCACATCTCTCATAATATTTGGTTTTTCCTCACACCTCTTTCCACTTCCGTGTGGATCACTTTTTGCTCACATCTCCTTGTCTTCACTGTCACTTCACACGTGTGCAGTTGCCATGGGAACCAGGCCATTTCCCTGCAGCGTCTCCTAGAGCTCCTTCTGGGGGTATAGGACTTGTGCTGGGGTGGTGTGTGGGGCTGAGGACCTGGGGCATGGAGTGTTTTAGTTGGCGGCAGCTGAGGAGGAAAAGGACTGGTTAAGGAGCTTTGGAGGCTGCTTTTGAGATAAGCATCCTAGGATCTTCCTAAACACCTTTAGGAAGTCAAGGGAGGAGGGAGAGGATGGTTGTTTGCATTCCTAATAGTATTTTGAAACAGTTTATGCCAATATGAAAACCTAAACTTTTTAATCTCATTGTTTCTTTTTCTCTCCTCACTCATATTTTAGGTCCATGGCGATGCTTCTTTCTGTGGCCAAGGGATTGTTCTAGAAACATTCACACTTTCTAATCTCCCACATTTCAGAATTGGTGGGAGCGTCCACTTGATTGTCAATAACCAGCTTGGCTACACCACGCCGGCAGAACGAGGAAGGTCTTCTTTGTACTGTAGCGATATTGGTACGTAACACGGGCACTGGTGGTCCCGGATCCAGCGATCCTAGAGAAAATTCTAGTTCACTTAAAACAGTGAGTCGCACTGGTTATCCCATTCCGTTTGTACTTTGGGGTCAGGCATAATCAGTAGTCAGCAAGAGTGTGAGCCAAGTTAACATTTCTTTTAAAGTCTGGGTGTGTTATTTATTTATTTGTTTTTTGTGCTGAGGATGGAGCCCAGGGCCTTCTTGTACGTGCTGTGCAAGCCCTCTTCTACTGAACTGTATCCCTAGTGCTCAGAGTAACTTTTTTTTTTTTTTTTTTTTTGGGTGCTGGGGATCGAACTCTGGACCTTGCACTTGCAAGGCAGGCGACAGAACCACTGAGCTAAATCCCCAGCCCCAAGAGTAAATTTTGAATCCAAAGAAATAAAAGAAGGATGGAAGATTTTGTTGCATTAACCTGAGTCTTGAGAGCTGCTGGTGCTGTGGTTTTAGCCCCTTCGGCAGCAGAACAAGGGCCACTATCCTTCCTCGCAGCTGTGCTAGAACGGAGAGGAGTGGCTGAGTTACAGAACGTAAGTTCCCGTGTTTTCTGTGGACAAGTGTGGTTTCTCGACAACTGTCCCTCTTCCCTTCTCTACATGAGCAGCATGAAGGAGGGAGGGACCTTGGACAGGAAGCCCACCCCTTCCAGAAGGTGTCCCCTGCAAGGCACAGACCTCCCACATGGGAAGTTTGACACCCCAATTCATTTTTTAGACTCAAGAAGCTGTGGCAGCCACGGGCAGAAGCACGTTCCTCACATGCCCCCTCGTCTAAGGGATGGCGGGTTCCTCTGCAGTAAACACTCAGTCGTCCTCCCAGAGACCTTCGAATCCTCTTGTATTCCGTGTTCCATCTTTTCCTAGGGGGAGAGGAGGTTAGAGAAGCCGCATTGCAGAAATGCTGTCATAATGGTTTTTAACACCTTTTTACCCTTCCTCCTGGTGCTATTTGGTAGAATAAGGAACACTTTTGAAAAGTCGGTAGGGCTTTATGTACTTAAAAAAACCCTCACTTTGATTTTTATGTTCAACATTTTCAGCAGATTTTCTGGTGGAGGGGTAGCTGGTGCTGTGAAACAAGCAGGGGAGTATGCCTTGTTTCAACAGTCTTTTGCTAATTTTTAGTCAGAACAATGATGGATGCTTAGAGTTTACTTTATTCTGTTTAATTAAAATCAGCATTTCTCTTTAAAGAAGAAAAGAAAAAGATAAAGGTGGGAGCTAAGAGCATTCAGTCTTAATACTTACAAAGCTAACTGAAGGATCTGGTAGAAATCAGAGAGCAGCACCATTAGTACAAGAGTGGAGTAATTACCTTTGAATATTCACTCTTGAGGAACCCAAAATATTAGGCTAGAAGGACATGTTTGACTACTAAATTTGGTGAAATAGTCTGGTCACAAACAAGATGTGAAGAATTGAACTCAACCTGCTTTAACCTGTGGAAATTAGCAGTTCTAAGAGAAAGATAGGGCTTTTCCACCCCTTCTTATTTTACACAGTTACAAGGAGTTAAAAGAACTGTTAGGTGGTAGGAACTACTCTCTTTTTATACCCAGAGCATGGAATGGTTTGTTCTTGGGTTGTCTATGTGAATTCTTTGTGATTTGTCTGAGAGAAAGAGAGAATGAGGATCCATTCTAGGACTTCTCTTTGAAGAAAATCCATCTTTTTCTCTTTTTTTTTTTGGTACCAGCATTTGAACATGAGTATTTGCACTTGTGAGGCAGGCGGTGGCAAAATCCATCTTTTTCTAGGATGCATCTTTTAACACCCTTTTATCTCAGGAGGAAAGATAATAATAACTAAGAAAGTAAATGTTAACTACTATGGTCAGGCATTGTAAAGCATTAATACTTTTTATCCATTGATTCATATAATCTTGAGGCTGTCAGTAAGAGGTGGGACTAGACTGAGATTCTTAAGTTACCAAAATCACACAACAAGGGACAGAGCTGGGACTTGTCATCTAGACCCCAAAGCTTGGATTGTTAACCAGCCGAGCTAAATGGTCTGTAGGACATAGGATGTCTTCCCTCAGAAGGGGTAGGAATTGAGGAGGCCTAATTTAATTCTAGGTTAACTGGTCTGCTTCATACCTGTCTCCCCTGTTCAGGGAAACTGGTGGGCTGTGCCATCATCCATGTTAATGGAGATAAGCCAGAGGAAGTGGTCCGGGCCACACGACTGGCTTTTGAATATCAGCGCCAGTTCCGCAAGGATGTGATCATAGATTTGCTGTGCTATAGGCAGTGGGGCCACAATGAGCTGGATGAGCCTTTCTTCACCAACCCAGTCATGTACAAGATCATCAGGTAAATCCTAAACCTTTGTTAGAGATCCTCTGACCTCACACAGGCGCGCACACACACACACACACACACACACACACACACACACACACACACAAATACATTTGGGTGCTGGAGATGAAACTTGAGACTTTGTATGCTAGGCAAGTGATATATCACTGAACTAGAGCCCCGGCCCTGTTATTTTTTAATGGGTAGTCAGGTAGGATGAACAATGGCCTTGGTTTGCTTAGGACGTAGGACTTGTAGTGCTACACTGGGACAGTCCTGGGCAAGCTGGGATAGTAACTGTCTTAGTCACTTTCTCTTCGGTGGATGAAACACCTGACACAGCTTAATGGGGGAGAGGTTCATTTGGGGGTCAATGTTTTCAGTCCATGGCTGGCTGGCTCCAAGGCAAGAAGGGCACTTGAAACGGTCTGGTGGAGGAAATCTTCTCATGTCATAGTGGTCAGGAAGAAGACAGAGAAGGGAGGAGCCAGAGAGGGAGGTGCATGCTTCCTGGGTACACTCTGGTGACCACCTCTAACCAGGCCCCAGCTCCTAACGAGAAGTCACCATTGCATATACTGAGCCCTTGGTCCAGGCATCTTTCAGACACGGAAGTGTTTGGGGGACACCCCAGATCTAAACCATAGCATTCTGCCTGTGGCTCCCAAAAGACTCAGGTCCATTTCTTTAAGCAAAGTACATTTAGTCTACCTCTAAATGTAGCCACAGTTTTAACATTCTGGCATTACTGAAAATTCCAAGTCCCAAATCTCCTCTGAGACTCAGTATAAACTCTAAACCATGAGCCCTGGTTTTTTTGCTTTATTTTTTTTTACGTTAAATACTGCTCACAATGGCACAAGAGAAACATTTCCAGTATGATAGGGGGTAGAAAGGAATTAGATCAAAGCAAGACCAAAACCCAGCAGGGTGAACATTAGATTCCATAGCTTCAGGTCCAGCACTTGGGACAAGTTGTGGCCATGAGATGTGAACTCCAAGGGTTTGGGTGGCTTTGATCCCTGCCTGTGGGTTTCCCCAGATGGTCCACATTCCTGGCTTCTCCAGCCTCCTGGAGTCTCCACTGCACCTTCAGCTTTACTCATACCTCACAGTGCCCTACCAGTGGCACACTGCCTGGCTTCCCAGGCCTCCTGAAATCAGAGTGGAAGCCTCCTTGACCCCACAACTCTGCCATTCTGTATGTTTATAAAACCAGCACCCTGAGGAAGACACCAAAGTCTTCTCCAAGCTTGAGAAGCATCCAGGCCCCTTGGATCATGGCTTCAGGGGGCTCTGAGTGACTGTGAACTGAGTCCTAGAAACCCAATTCTCCAGGCTACCATTCTGGAGCACCATGCCATGGTACTCTCTTCTCAAAGCAAAGTCTTTCATTTTTGCACCTTTGAGCCTACAAAGAGGGGCTCTGCCTGATTCCTGAGATGCCTTTGAGCCATCTTTGGTATTGTCCTTATGTAAAGGACTTGGCTGCTATTTAATGTTAACTTTATCAACCATGTTCTCCTTTGCTCCAGCTCTGCAGGTGCTTCCTTTCTGGAAAAATTGGAAATTTAAATGGTATTTTTGGTCCTGATTCTCACTATAGATCTTGCTCAAAGCAGCAAGCAATACCCATGCTACAGCCTGAATGCTGGGCTGCCTTGAGATTTCCTTCCCCGGATTAGTTATTCCATTACCCCTAATCTTGGTCTCCCATTAAGTCACAGGACAGGAGCAAAATGCAGACAGATTTTGTGCTAGAGCATAACACACATAGCCTAGAGTTCACCTGCCAATGGAGTTCTTGTTCCTAACCTAAATCTCCTGAGCTTCGTCTTTCCATCTGTTTTCTGTTAGCATTATGGTCTTCTGAGCACTGAGCAGAATCTCTCATCAAGCTCAGCTTACCGCATTTTAGGGTTTCTCTCGCCAGCATCTCCAGACCTTTCCAAACTCTTCCTATGAACCTGTTCTGAACCATGTGCTCATGTGTAGTCTGGCAGTAACCCCAGTCCCTGTACCGAAGTCTGTCTTAGTCACTTTCTTCCCAGAACCGAAGGGGTGCTTATTTAGGCTCCACACTCTTGGTTCATGTTGGTCTGGCTCCAGGGCAGGAAGGGAATACTGAAAGTGTCTGGCAGAGGAAAGCTGCTTATGCCATGGTGTCTAGGAAGTAGAGAGAGGAAGGAGGAGCTGGGGAGTGAGACTTACCCTTCCAGGTCACATCCCAGCAGCCTGCCTCCAGCCAGTCCCACCTAGTAGCTCCCCAGGTGTGAACTCCTTAGCGGACTAATCCCTTGGCCTATGACCCATTTCCTTCCAAATACGTGAGGTTGTGGGGACCAGGTCTGAAGCATAGCAGTCACCTGTGGGTGTCAGGGACTTCTCCATAGTCTTCACAATCCCCATATTTCCTCACTGAATAGAGAATGGGTAACTTAACGACTTCCTGAGCAGAGGCACATCTCACTGCTTAGTGTGGCGTTGGCAGGCTCAGGAGCGGGATCTTTGTGTTCATTTCTCCAGATCGTAAACGTGGACTTGCTTTGTGCCTAACAGGAAGTAGCACGGGAAATTTTAATGAATGGTTAGGACTCTTCTGTGCAGGACAGCAGCCACTACACAGTAGCTGGCCACTGAGCACCTGCGATGTGGCCAGTCCTGGTGGAAATGTGCTGCAAATACAATACACCAGATTTCAAAGACTTAGCAGATGAAATGGAAATGTAAAATGGTCGTAATTTCTATACTGACTAGATGTTGAAATGACAGTAGTTTAGCTATATGGACTTAAAATATATTACTCAGACTAAATCCACCTACCTCTCTTTACTGTTTCTAATGTAACTGCCAGAAATTTAAAATTACACACGTGGCTCACATCTTCCTTTTGTCGGACAGCATTGATGAAGGTGATTAACGTGGCCGAGAGAGACGTGGAACTTTGGTGTTTCCTTTTCTAGATACTGCAGACTACAACAGAGCCCCGCATGTACACACGCTCTTCCTCATGGGCGGGAAACTGAAGCAGCGGAATAGGCTTGGTGGCTCCCAGGCCTTCCTGCTCGCAGGGAGCAGAAGCGTGCAGCTCGGGCCCGAAGCTGGTTCTGGCGTAGCTCTGAGCTTAGCAGTCAGTGACCAGGTGCCTCAGGGCTCCATTGCATACATCCAGCCGCTCACTTTTATCTGGATTCAATACGATCATGAGTTCACAGGTTTTATGTAAAAGGGCATAATTGTTGTTGTAATATTTTCAACCACATGCTGATTATCAGTGAAAAGACTAAAGCATCCTGAATCGGAAGGTGGCAACTTAGGGCTCGTATTTTCTTTAAATAAAGGGAGCGCTCAGTGGACGGGTAAGGGGTCAGTCTTACCAACAGCTCTTGGCAATTTACCAGTTCATAGAAAAACTCCACTCTTTTACCTGAATATAGGCAAAAGCTTTACAATGGTAAATTTATTTTCTGTTGTTTTGCCTGGAAGAAGTTGATGAGTACTTTAATTATCTACCTACCTGTTTTGTTAATTTATTGAGGTGAAAGTCACATAATGTAAATTCTGCCACATTAGTTTAAAGTAAACACTTCAGAGGCGTTTGGTTCAGGCCTGGTACTGTGCAGCCACCACCGCTGGAGAGCATTCTAGGTGCCCTGCAGTTGATAACATCCTACAGCGCCTGTGACTGTGGTCGCCTCTATCTCCTTAGATCGCACAGGTTGATCTTCCCCCTTCTCTTGAGCAGAGCACGAAAGAGCATCCCAGACACATACGCCGAGCACCTCATTGCCAGCGGACTGACAACCCCAGAGGAGGTGTCTCAGATAAAAGCCTCCTACTACACCAAGTTAAGCGACCACTTGGCCAGCTCAGCCCACTACAGCCCCCCCGACAGCAGCCTGCAGGCCCACTGGCAGGGCCTGGCCCAGCCGGCCGCTCGCATCTCCACCTGGAGCACGGGCGTGACCCTCGACCTCCTGCGCTTCGTCGGGGCCAGGTCTGTGCAGGTGCCCAGGGAGCTGCAGGTGCATGGCAACCTCCTCAAGGTGTATGTTCAGGTGAGGGGTTTGGCACCGCCCGCTGCTGCCTTTCATTTTCACTCAGCCACAGGATTGTGGCTGGTCTGGTCTTTGTGGTTGTTCATGCACTTGACAGAGATGTAGAGTTTATTAGTAGGTTCTGGGAACTGCTCTGAGCACTCAGTCACTTGCCTCAGATGTTGTCTTTTTTCCATAGAGGCCTTTGTTTTATGTTTGACATATTATATGTACATGAAACACATGCCTACTATAAAAAAGAAATACAGAAAAATCTACTTCAATTTTCCAACTTGTAAACAGGGCACACTTTAATTTTTCAGGTAGCTTAAATAAAGGACATACACAGCACACATGTACCCCAGGGGTGGCTGGGTAGACCCTCAGACATGCTCCAGTTTTGCGTATCATCTTTTGCTATCTGTGGGGTGACAAACTGTCCCGGTTGGCCTGGGACTTCCCAGGTTTTCTGGAACAGGGCGCTTTCAGTGCTCAAACCAGAAGAGCGTAGAGTTAAGGCACTCCATCCTCTGAATTACTTTAAAACACTTGACGTTTTTATTAGCGGCTTAGAAATCTTGTAACAAACTGTACGTTCACCATCTAGCTTAAGAAATTAGACATCCCAGGCAAAGATGTCAGTTCCCTCCGGATCCTGTCTCCTCTTAGGTCTGTGAAGGTGCCTGCTAAGCCAGGTGCCCTGATTTGTTAAGCAGTGCGCTGGCTCTGCCTGTTTCAGACTGTGTGTAGTTGCCGCCGTGCTCTTGTGGGTCCGCCCATCCTCTGTTGGTTCACACTTGTGTTATTGATTCCCACCACAGTTACGTGCGAGGTTTTGAACTCAGTGTGCAAAAGGATGTGGACACTTGAAAGTTTCTTTTCTCCTCCCTTGCACTTTATAGTCCAGGATGGAGAAAGTGAAGCGTGGGACGCACTTGGACTGGGCCACGGCAGAAGCCCTGGCCTTGGGCTCTTTACTCGCTCAAGGTAAGGGCCCCTCTTTGGCCTTACAGCTGAGAGAATGTGCTTAGGGCGCTGGTCACGTGTGACTTCTGTGATTTTCTGCACCACAGCTACTTCCTTCCCGTTGTTTCCATTGGCTGGAGAAGCTCTAAAAATAGGTTACCCCATAGCATTTCTTAATCACAGTGTGAATCACATCAGGCGTTCATCAGTGTGGACAGCAGAGCAGTTTTGCCTGGGACACACCAGATGGTTAGATATTTTCTCCAAAAATTATAGGGCGAGTAATGACTCTCCATTCCTGTATAATTTTGCCTTGATTGTAGAGTTTTGGGCATAAGAGAGGATTGTTTTAATAAGGAGAATCTGTTATGGTAAGGAAATTCCAAAGATGAGTGAAATCTTGTCTGAAAAAAATAAATTCAGGGTAACCATGGCTTATTATTAGTTGGATTATTCACAGGCATCTGGATTGTTTTTTTTTGATTGCTCCTTAAGGGTTTTTTTTGTTTTTGTTTTTTGTTTTTTTTTTTGCTGCTTAAGGTTTTAATGTCCGTCTGAGTGGCCAGGATGTTGGCCGTGGAACTTTCAGCCAGAGGCACGCAATGGTGGTTTGCCAGGAGACCGGTGACACCTACATCCCCCTGAACCACATGGACCCTAACCAAAAGGGGTTTCTGGAGGTAGGCTGTTCCCAAATCGAGCGGCAAATCCAGGCGCCACTTGTTACACTTGCAGGCTGCTTAAAGAGACCAAAAAACGGATGTCAGAAACTTTTGAGTTCAGTTTTTGCTTTTTTAGTTCAGTATTTTTTGAAATAGGGGGGTTCCAAGTGTGTGGATGATGTTGATCCATAAATCTGGAATAGAAATAATAGACTGGAGAGTGGACTGGAGCTGTTTTAATTAGACCACTAATCTGCATTCATATAAAAGTCAAATGGATGTGTGTTTTGTCAGCTGAAAATTGACGTTATTATCCGTGTATTGTAAGTTAGTCAAGGATGTGAATAGTAAGCTAGCATTGCTTGCCTACTTCAAACAAACAAACAAACACCTCCACTTCCCGCAGGTAACCCGTTTCCCTGAGGTTTCGTGGGCATTTCTGTCTGCCCTCTCTGCTGTTCTATTCAGTATCTTAGGGGCAGTGGCTGAACCTTTTTATTTATTTATTTTTTAATTCAGCAATTAGGTAGAGCTCAGCACATGATCTTTACAATGATAAGTTACTATTTTAAGTAAATATAATGGCATGGCACCTTCTTTTCTATTATAGCCATTTCATAATATAATCTTGAGTTTACTGGTGTTCTCTAAAAAAGTCTGCCTGGCAAAAGCAGTATTCTGGAAAGATTATTTGAAAGACTGTAGCTTACCTTTTCTATAAGTGAGTCCAAAGTCCACCCAGATTGATCTGCTAGAGAGAAAGCAAAGCATTCAGTGCCCTCCTGACTTTCCATGAGGCTGGCATTGCATTGTGATTGGATATTTAGAAGCTCTTTCGAACATTAGCATGTCATTTTAAAAGCTCTGATTAAGTGTCTTATATCAATATGAGATGATGTTCACTATTTCTTTCTTTCTTTCTTTTTTTTTTTTTGGTACCAGGGATCAAACTTGGGACCTTATGCTTGGTGGCAGGCAGCAGAACCACTGAGCTAAATCCCTGTCCACTATTTCTTTTTTAGCATTGTGTTAGGTAGTTAATTTTTTCGGGTTTTTTTCAATATCCTGTGTTTGTTACATAATTTCATTCCTCGTGCGGAGTTGGTTTGTGTGCCTCAGACATTTCAATTCTTTTCGCATCCTCTGTATTCTCCTCCCTCCTTTCTTCCTCCATCTTTTGATCCCCTTCCCATTTGAGAAAGATCTGTCTCCCTGCTTTTTTCTTTCTTTCTTTTTTTTTTTTTGGTACCAGGGATCAAACTTGGGACCTTATGCTTGGTGGCAGGCAGCAGAACCACTGAGCTAAATCCCTGTCCACTATTTCTTTTTTAGCATTGTGTTAGGTAGTTAATTTTTTTGGGTTTTTTTCAATATCCTGTGTTTGTTACATAATTTCATTCCTCGTGCGGAGTTGGTTTGTGTGCCTCAGACATTTCAATTCTTTTCGCATCCTCTGTATTCTCCTCCCTCCTTTCTTCCTCCATCTTTTGATCCCCTTCCCATTTGAGAAAGATCTGTCTCCCTGCTTCCTATTATTTATCTTTTATTTTGCACTTTATTTATATTTTGGGTTTTTCATATAAAAGAAGCCGTGAGATATTTAGGCTGTGTGCCTGATTTATTTCACTTAACATTACAGTCTCAAAGTGTGTCCGTTTCCCTACCGTTTCTACACAGTGGAGCACTACTCTACCATAAATTTGAGTTATGTGTAGGAAAATAAATGTCCACGATTTCTGGGCTGGGAGTGTAGCTCAGTGCACATGAGGCCATCAGTCGAATGCCCAGCACTGCCAAAACAAACAAACAAATACAGCAAAGAATTTTTATTTATTATCTGATACCATGGGGTTTATATGAAGACCCTGGGAGAAACCCATTTGATCTGGCATTGCAAGCGTTACTCTTTTCCGAGCAATGGTTTGGTTTCATTGGCTGCACTGAATTCTGTAGGTGACCAGCACTCTCTTACTAATGGTGGCTTCGAGGAAAGGCTGGAGGCCAGGCAGACTAGTGATAAGTGAGTAGGTCAGGGGGTCTGCCTTTCCCCAGCTCTTCTCCTGTGCCTCAATCTTTTTTTGTTTTTTGGTACTAGGGATCAAAGTCAGGACTTTGTGCTTGCAAGGCAGGTGCGGTGTCACTGAGCTAAATCCCTGGCCCTGTGTCTTCATCTTTGTCTGCCTTGTTTCATTCCACTTAAAATCTGTACCGTCATCTTGTGTATTATATATATTTATAAACCACTTTCAGTACTTTTTAAGAAATAAATAAATGCATTAATAAATGAAGAAAATAAGGTATCTACATTTATACAAATGTACAAAGTACAATAGATTCCCAGGGAAAGGAGCAGCTGCACCCACTTAGGGAATGCAGGAAGTGCTTGTGAGAAGATGCCACATTTGAGCAGGGAATTAAAGTTCACTAGTAGTTGTGTAGTCTAAGAAATACAGGGAAATACCCTAGTTGGACATAAAACACATATACATTCTGTGGGGTCAGAGAATGTGACATGCTTAAACTACGAATGGCTTCAGATGGACAGTAGCCGTGTGAGTAAGAAGGTGGTGGTCCCGTAGGACCGCCACGTTGTGAAAGGCTCAAGGTCACGTTGAGAGGGCCGGTGCAGGAACCGTGAACAGGAGGACAGATTTGCCTGAGACAAGACCAGGCACATTCAGGGAGGTTGGCCACAGACCAGATTTTCGTGTCATAAGGAGCGCTGCTGGCAATACTCTGGAAGCCCGTGGAGGAGGAGAAAGTAGGACGCCAGATAGGGACACTCCTCAGTGTTCTTTGAAGAAATCATGGGGCCGCAGTCAGGTGCTGAGTCCAGAGGAGCCAGGTTTGATGACAGGACTTTGTAGGGGAGTGCAGAGACTGCTGTCAGTTACGTCCTGGCTTCCTGATCGTGATAACTGCTCAGATAGATCATGGAGGACAAAGAGCAGCTTTCAGGAAGGGAGGATGATGGGTCTGTTTTGGACGTTGGACTTTGGGGGGGGTCGAGTGCCATGGACGTTTGTTGGCCAATGAGATCTGTTGTTGGCAGCATGTTGGATTCTGGTCCTGAGATGTAAGTAATCAGGGTGTAGACGTATCTGAAACCGCGGGGGTGGGAGAATCTCTCTGAGAGCAGAATGAGAAGAAGACTAAAGGTAGGGTCCTGGCAGAAACAGCATTTGAAAGGGCAGGCAGAAGGAAAATATTCCACAAGAGTGTCAAACAGGAAGAGGAGAGCCGGGCGTGGTGGTGCACGCCTGTATCCCCGCACTTGGGAGGCTGAGGCAGGAGGATCGCTGTGAGTTCAAGACCACCCTGGGGCTACATAGTGAGTTCCAGATCAGTCTCAACTACATAGTGAGACCCTGTCTCAAAAATCCAAAAAACAAACAAAGGGAAGAGGAGAAATGGAAGTCTCTGGGTCCTTGCACCCAAGGGGAGAAGAACAGCACTTAGGCAGTGGACGGTGGACCTCATGGTGAGCTGTTCCCGTGGAGAGCGTAAGAGTAGAATCTGAATTGTGCAGAAGCGCCTGGCTTAGGCTGGCTGGACTTCGAACTGTCCTGTTTTATGGTGGTATAGAAGCGATACGCATTCAGTAAACCGCCCTGTAGAGGTTGGCTTTTGCTCTTTTCCTTGGCTAGCACATGTTCGCAGGTGTTGGGGTAATGGGCTCAGTCCTCTTGGTGAGCAGTGCGGTGCGCTGCTCAGCTGGGACGGTGGCGGGGAGGCGTAATACATGTGTGCTGTAGAGGTTGGCTTTTGCTCTTTTCCTTGGCTAGCACATGTTCGCAGGTGTTGGGGTAATGGGCTCTAGTCAGAGGCACAGTCCTCTTGGTGAGCAGTGCAGTACGCTGCTCAGCTGGGACGGTGGCGGGGAGGCGTAATACATGTGTGCTAACTGACTGTATTTTCGGCTCCCCACGGGTCCCTGGGCCTCAGTCCGGCACAGGTCAAGCAGCTTCTGCCCTTAAGGAGCCAAGAGGTGAAGACAGGGGGACAGGAAGATTAGTCTAAAGGCTCAACTGAGAAGAGAGCAATGGCCCGGGGGAGGCCAGATTGGGGGATGTGTATTTCTTGTTTCATTTTGAAGCTTTGGATTGAGGAGGGAGAACCGAAGGGGAGAAGCTCGGAAAGGAGCACTGAGGTGGTGGCGCCGGGCCCAGAAGCTGGAGCGCAGGGTGGGTCCAGAGTGTGCACGTTAGGCGTGGCAGGGAGAGAAGAGGCCAGGGTGAGGGGCGGCAGAGATGGGAGTTGTGTGGCTGCTGCAGGCCTCGTGACAACACACAGCAATCCGAGAAATGTGGTGGTCTTCTCAAAAATGAGTGTAAGATTATAACGGGGATGAGAGTGGAAATCCGAAAAGATCAATTGTGCCTAATCCAATCATGCTCGTAAATAATCCATTTTTTTATGTCATTGTTCTTATCTGTGTGTCATAATTTGTGTGTGTTGGTGTGTGTATGTAACAGGCTGTCCTTGAAACTCGCTATGTGGCCCACGCTGGGCTCCAAACTTGTAGCAATCCTCCTGCCTCAGCCTCCTGAGTGCTGGGATTACAAGCATGTGCCAGTATGCCCAGCTACACATTTTATAGTTGTGATTAGAGCTAGAATTTTTTCCAAGTTTTTGGAAATAAAGGCTTTATGAGTTATAACCCTTAAAATTCAACCTTTCAATGTATACAATGAAGCAGTTTTTAGTAGATTCCCAGAGGTGCATAAGCATCACCACTCTCTAACTTCAGAATGTTTCTGTCACCCCAGCAAGCGACTCCAGACCCAGGAGCAGCCGCTCACTGGTCCACGCTCCCCCAGTGCCTGGTGGCCCCTGAGCCATCTTCTTTTTTTTCTATTAATGTGTCTGTTCTGGACATCCCAGGTAAATAGAGTGGGATGAGATGAGTCTTTTGTGGCTTGCTTTTTCCACTTGGCATAACGTTTTCAAGTACATCCATATTGCAGCAGATACCAGTACTTTATTTCCTTTTTATTGCCAAGATGTTCTATAAATATGCAACTTTTAAAAAAATATTTTTTATAGGGCTGGGGATTTAGCTCAGTGGTGCTGCCGCCTGCCTCACAAATGCAAGGACCCAAGTTCAATGTCTGGTACCAAAGGAAAAAAATATTTTTTATAAAATTGAAACAAATGCAAAATTATTTTTAAATACTTGGTATACACTACGAAGGAAGTCTCTCTCAACTTAAACCATTTGAAAGCAACTTGCTAGCCTGATACCCTATCATATGTATTTCTTATATAAATAAATAACAGACATTCTCCTCTGTCACCCAACAGACATTCAGATCAGGTGTTAAAAGCCACACGTTACCAGTGCAGTGTCACATTGCATTTAGCTGTCTTGTTCCTTTAACATCCTCAGAGATTACATTTGTATTCTGCCTTTTTTATCTTAAAATAACATGATGGTTCTTTTGATTTATCATGCAGATATGTTAGAATAAGACATCCTGACCAAAGGCAGGCGTTCATTTTATAACTTTTCCGTCTTTGTTTTTAAAAGCCTGTGTAACGTAGACTTACTCTCAGCCCCAGAGGTAGGTCACCTGAGTACATTGCCTAACCTTGAAGAAAATCTTTACTACCATATGCTAACCTTTTTTTTTGCCTCTCCCTGTTCCAACCTTTCCCAAATGCGCCCCTGATACTGGGCAGTAAGTCCGTCCTTCTCCAGGGAACGTTGAGATGAAGGAAGCACATTCGCCTCCTGCCCTCCTGGCTTCCAGCCTAGCACCCTGAATCTTTCCCACCATGGCTCCTGTCGTGGTTCGCTGGCCTCTAGTTTTGGTTCTTGCCCTTGGAACTAGGTCAGTAACAGCCCGCTGTCAGAAGAGGCTGTCCTGGGATTCGAATATGGGATGAGCATCGAGAGCCCCACGTTGCTGCCCATCTGGGAGGCCCAGTTTGGCGATTTCTTCAATGGAGCTCAGGTCATCTTTGACACATTCATCTCTGGAGGTCGGTGTCATGTAGCTGGCGGGTGGATGCGCCGCTCCAGCCTCAGGGGCCACAGGAATGAAAAGAGCTGTGGCTGTTCTGAGAGCCCCTTGTACCACAGCATCTGGAGAGCTGGGTGACATCCTCTGCCCCCAGATGACGCAGTGAGCCGTCAGGAGGAGCACCTGGCTGTGTCAGGGCGAGGCTGGGTGCCTGTCCCACCTGTGCAGGGGCACAGGTCTCCTGGGGAATGGTCCTGGCTGTGCCTGCCAGCTCCCGGGCTCTTTGACTTGGTTCCACTCCTGGGATGACGAGTCACCAGTGGCCACGATGGCAAAGTGTCATGGTGCTCTTGGAAATCTCCCCAGTCCAGGTCCCTCGAGTATCTGAAAGTTTCAAAATTAATACCTGCTTCCTGTAAGAATTCAGTGGACATGAAGGAAAGATGTAAGTCATTCCTCAGACCCTCAATCCTATTTTCTGGGGGTCCCCACTACTAGGTTTTGAATTTATGTCTTTCCCATAGTTGGGTTTCTCTGTAACTTTGTCATTGTGAGGAAGAAAAAGTACCCGAGGCACCTGAACGTTTGGCATTTCCAGGGTGATTTGGAAGTGTCCCTCGCCCTCTGTTGAAGGACAGCGACCTGTGTGTCTTGTGTGGTGAGGAAGGGAGCCCATTCTTGCTATGAGTTGTGGCTGTGGGGAACTCAGTGGGGAGCCAAGACGTTCATCTGTGAGGTGTTCATCTTGTCTTCTACGCACTGAAGCCCAGGGGAGTGTCATCCCAGGTTTGCACCCACCAAAGTGGATATGTTCCCCCAGCATGTGCTGTGACAAATGCACAGAATGAAAAAGTTACGGAGGCTCAGGCAGCAAAATAATGCTTTGCACTTTGCAACTCCCAGCAGACTGCTTGTTCCCTGCTCTGCAGAGTTCTTACCTTCTCCCTGTGCTTTCTAGGAGAAGCCAAGTGGCTCCTGCAGAGTGGCATCGTGGTCCTCCTTCCCCATGGCTACGACGGGGCTGGCCCGGACCACTCATCCTGTCGAATAGAGCGGTTCTTGCAGGTGTGTTGGAAGCCTCTGGTTCCCAGAAATGTCTTCCTACTTCCCAGGTGCTTTAAAATGGAATTACAGCCAGTGTGGATTGGTTTATGTGCACCTTAAACTGTAAGAAATTAATAGTGTTTGAATGAAATAGATTTAATGTAATGCTGTTTGGTTCAGATATGATGGTATCACGATTTCTGACAATTACAATATTTTTTGGAGCTCCTCCCTAGCATGCTTGAATCTCTGGGTTCAATCCCCAGCACCACAAAAATTAAAAACTGAGTAATGGTTCCCATGTGGCCCAGAGCAGTGGTCCTGCAGGCTGATCCTTAGAAAACCCTCTCGGGAGCTTTCTACATAAACAGACATGCAGATACAGAGTCAATCCCATATCAGACTTTTAGGAGCATGACATAGGAATCTGTATTTAAAGTAGTGATAGTGTTTTTATAAAATGGTCCATGATCATTAAAACATTTGAAATACTCTCTCAGGAATCACTATTGCTCTAATTCAGTAAAAACGAATACAGATACCTGACTGGAATCGAAGCCAGGTAAAGGTGAGAAAAGAGACAAGGGAAGAGTGATGCTGGACAGTGAGAAGGTGGTAGGACCGGTGGGTTGGAGGTCTGCATGAGGTTGCAGGGCTGCTGGAGGACATGCATTAAAGGAAGTGAACTAGAAAGACAGGAAGTGGTAGTCAGGGAGGGGTGTGCACAGAATGGACTCTATGGAGGGGTCCTGTACTGACTGTGACAGATGTGAGCTTGTGCTGTTGATCGTTTGAATGTTCGTTTCCCCCCAGTATTTGTGTGCTGAAATCCTAACTCCTGAGGGGACGGTGTTACAAGATAGGGCGTGGCGAGGGTAGCCCTCATGTGTGGCATTACTGCCCATAGTGTTTGCTCTCCTCTTTCACCACAGGAGGGCACAGTGAGAAGTAACATCATGCACAAATCCCAGAATGGGCCCTCACCAGATGCCAAACCTACTGGTGCCTTGACCTGGGACTTTCCAGCCTCCAAAACTTTAAGAAATACGTTTCTGTTGTTTATTAGTTACCTAGTTCATGGTATTTTCTTACAGCAGCATGGACAGGTTTAAGATATTATGGGGAAGGGTTGTTGAGGTAGAATGGCCAATAAAGTTGTTGGAGGACATGAGTTAAAGGAACCAGAGAAGCCACATTGTTAAAAGGATCATCTACGCACAGAGTCTGACCCCAAAATGCATATACACTTCAGAAAAAGAAAAGCTTGTATAAATATTTTAATACTAAATTTATTGAGACATCAAGAGATTAATACAAGTTACCTCTGGCCTCTGCAGTTTCAAGAGGTGCTCAAAGTGGTGCCCATGAGCTTCCAGACATTTATGAGTGTGGGAACTGCTGCTTGGGTGACCTTGGTCATTGTGGTTAATTAATTAATGCTCACCTTGAGTGGGAATTGAGTTAGTTCTGGATGTGGAAGACCCACTTAAGGAGGACTGATGTTAGAAGGATATAAAAGGAGAACAGGACCAGCAGTGTAGGTGGCTCTCTGAGATATACGAAATCCTCTTGGGTCCCCCTTACGAAGGTGACACCATCTGTTTAAAACACATCATGGGGCTGGGGATTTAGCTCTCGCAAGCGCAAGGTCCTGAGTTCGATCCCTGGACCAGAAACAAAACAAAGCACCACGTCGTATTATTTTCCTTCTCCTGCAGTGTGCGTGCATTCTTTTTTGGCAGACTCTGTATATATGAAAATGAGCAGGACCATGTGAGTGAGGGTTGCTGCGAGGCGCAGTCTGTGTTTAAACTGCTTAGAACAACAGCATACGTTTACGTAATTGCTGTGTATTTTAAGTACCATTTCATCTGCTTTCACTGTGATTATCTCAAGCCCTTTGTTTACACTGCTAATTTTATTTTTATCCCTGCAAAAGGATTACAAATGTTTACAAGAGTCTTTGCTATTTATTTAGGTGCTTGCTTATTTCTTCTGCTTTCACTGTGATTGTATCCAGCTTTTTCTTCATGCTGTTTGCAGTATTTGCAGTCCTGTCAGTTCTGGTATTTCTTATTTATCAGATCTGTAATGGTACACTTGGGCTCTCGCTTTATTTTCTTAGCATTGTGCCTTCCTTGTCTCATCCTTTCAAACTGTCTTGCATGCCTCACTCCTTTCCTTGTCCCTCCTCCTATCTAGTTATCGGGCTGTGTGATGTTTCCATTGTTGCCCTGCCACTTTGTTCCTCTTATCTGCAGAGGCTCCCAGCCACTCAGGTAGGGTGTGTGTGTGAGTCCCTGAGATGTTGTGCTCCGTAGGTACCAACTTCACTGTTGGAACAGCAGTGAGTCGGGCTGCAGTGGGAGGGGCGAGCTCTGCACACTGGGGCCTCCTGGACAGATTCTTCCCACCCCTAACACTAGGAGCCCCCTCCCCGCAGGGCTGCTCCCCATGGCTTCTGTCACATGAGCTGGAGTGGCTTCTTCTCCAGGAGATTTGCCTTTATCTTACCAGGTTGCCTTCTCATCCCCTCTGTTCAAATTGGAGTGGAGGAGTTAGAATGTTTATGACTTTCTTTAAGTCAGTTTCCTTCTCTCCATGGCTTTTTGAGGAGGGCTAGGAGCCATATTTTCAGTTTTCTATCACACCAAGATCCTCTGAGAATTAATTTAAAAATTGTATTTGTACAAGTTTGCAGTAATTAATGATTATATTCACTGTGGGGTGTTGGTTTGTGCACATAACATATCTTAATCCTTTTTTCTTCCTCTTCGCCTTCCTTCCCTCCTGAGATTTAGTTTTCGTCATCCCAACTTTTCAGCCTTGTTTGCTAGCTGCTTTTGATTTGGATTTTGTCTGCACACACACACACATGCACGCACGCATGCACGCACACACTCATTTTGCTTATTTCACAAAGGAGAGTGAGATTCTGTTAGTGCTGCTTCTACTATCTTAGCCCTGCAGAAACCAGAATCTGTGTTTTTTAATGTGCTCCCGGAGGATTTGTGCTGTCAGTTCTGTCTGGGCACAGCTGTGTTGGACAGCACAGACCTGGATCAATGGACAGAGCCACTGGAGCACTCCTTTGGTTAACACTTCACGGTCATGAATTTATCCCTGGGATTTCCAAGGGAGAGTAGTATCTCACTCAGGGAGAGCACGTGCATTTGCCCCGCCAGTGTGTGGTCTTTACGATTGCAGTAAATGATCTGAATACTCCTCTCTCCCCAGATGTGTGACAGCGTGGAAGAGGGGGTGGATGGGGACACTGTGAACATGTTTGTGGTGCACCCGACCACTCCGGCACAGTATTTCCACTTGCTTAGAAGACAGATGGTGCGGGACTTCAGAAAACCCCTCATCGTTGCTTCTCCCAAGATATTACTCAGGTTCCCTGTAAGTAGCAAAGGCTGGTAACTATGACTTTCTCTTTTAGATGGAATCCAGGGCCTTACATCTGCTGCGCAAGTGTTCTACCACTGAGCTACATCCCTAGCCCCTTTTGTCTTTTTTTTTTTTTTTTTTTTTGGTACCGGGGATTGAACTTGGGCCCTTGCACTTGCCAGGCAGGTGGCGGAACCACTGTACGAAATCCCAGGCCCTAATTTTTTGCATTTGACTTCTATTTTCTAAATTATAGAGAGACTTTATCTTAAATTGGCTTTGCTGTTTTCATTTTTTTAACTATCTACAAATAATTGGAGACAGTCTTTATTTCCGTTCTAATGAAGGGCACAGATAGCAGTAGTATTACCACACTGGCCTCCTAATCAGAACAAAAGAAAATGTTTGAAACTCAAAAGCCTAAGCACTTCTGACAGAAGTGTTAGGGATCAGAGCTAGAGCCTTACCCATGCTAGCTAGGCAAGCGCTTTATTGCTTAGGTACAGTCTCTACCCACCCCTGGTTTTTTCCTCCTTAATGATTTATCAAGGTAAGTCCTGTTTAATAAGCATAAATAAAGTAGCAGTATATTGTTATAGTTCTTTAAAAGTGCATAATATATTTTTCAAATCACAAAAATATACTAGTTTTCAAATGGTTGCATTCAAGATAATAAATACTACAAAGGATATATTTATCCCATCTACTATAATTATTTTCAGTTTCCTATGAGAATTTATTTGGTTGCAGCTGCCGAGGTGAAATTTGAAATCTGGTTGAAATATACGTAGATACATTTGTGCTCTTCCCACAGGTGACAGAGATGTACCGGACTCGGGGGGCAGAGAGGAAAACTGCATAGGATTTGCTTCTGCTTGTTTTAAGCAGCTCCTGGTGGTGCCAGGGGAGCAAAGAGGTCCTCTTCCTCAGGGGTGGCACGTACACGGCATGAGAGTCAGCACCTCCCAAAATTTTCTAGTCCAAGTACCTCCTTTATTCCGTCCCAGCCCCAGCCCTGGGAGTCAGGGTCGAGATACTTTCTGGTAGTTTCCAGCAGTGGCAGCAGTTAGTGGTTTGCTTATTCTGTTCCCAGCAGCCTCAGAGCATCAGAACATTCAGGAAAAGTTAGTGTAACCCCCTGCCTGGCTAACACAGGTATTTTGTAACAGTGTTACAGAGGCCTAGTACAAATGTAAAATCACTATAAATCATTTCTAAGAAATGCCCATTTTTTCCTTTGTATTTTTTTGTTTGTTTGTTTTGTTTTTTCAGTGCTAGGATAGAACTCACGACCTTACTAGGCAAGCTCTGTACCACTGAGCTACAGCTGGGATTTTTTTTTTTTTTTTGAGAGAAGGTCTCGGCCTTAAAGGGGTGACCTTGAACTGAAGGTAATCCTCCTGCCTCAGCTTCCCCAGTGCTAGGATGACAGGTGTGTGCACCATACCCAGCTAACTGGGATTCTTGACCCTGTCTTCTATTGTGTCTCCGAGGCTGTCACCTGTTCCTCAAATCATAACTATAAAAGGGTGTGATTATGTTGAATATGTATGTGTAACTATTGAGCGCACCGTTAGAAATGCTATTGAGAATTTCTTTTTCAGCTTGAAATAGAAAAAGAGATCATTTTCTGACCTTACTGTTCCACCCCTCTTATATGTAACTTACACAAGAGAGGCTTTGAGGTATCTGCATTGAATGTGTCAATCCTTTCACTAATTGACAATGAGGATGGCTTCTGCTCATACAAGTGACCTGTCGGAATACAAGCCAACCCTTTCCTTCAGTGGCTGTTTGCAGATAATTTGACACAAACACATGAAACTTAGGCTTGTCACATGGTACCCAAATCCCATGCTGATCGCCACCAGCTTCTGAACCTCAACTCCCAGCAAGAGAGGCTGACAAAGGGCTACCATTTAGAGTGGAGAAAGAGCTGCTCCCTCACACCTTACCTAGAAATAAAACCGCTGAATATTTAATTTCACTCTTTAGGTTATACTGCAGTGTCCCACTGGCAGTGTGGCTGCTCCACCTGGCCTATTCAAAAACATCATTTTTCCACTTGAGGTGAAAGTGTAGAGACATTAATTAGATGAAAGCGAAAAGCATGAAATTCCTGAGCTTGGCTTTGTTGGTTCTCCACCCGTCATTGCACCAGTGTATAGTTTATTTTCATCACAGAATCAGACATATACTGTTCCTAGTTGTACTGACCAGATAGGTTTTCCTTATACATTTTAGTCAAAAAACCTAAACAGAAATAATGATCATCACCCAGCTGTTTTAGTTTGCAATATGAATTTTTCAAAATATTTTCAGCTCCAAAAAATTAGAGCATGTTCTTATTGTTAATAGAATTGTGTGATTAGCCTGAAATTATAATTCATAAAATATTGTGGCATAAGCAAATGGGTGTCTCATACAACTTTAATGTGAATTACACAGAGCAATACCTGTGCGTACTTGCAGTGCTAGGCTAGAATTCTGATGGTATGTTTTGGTAAAGGTCCCTCCTTCCCACTAGTTGATACATGCATGGCCTTTTCCTCTCCCTCAGGCAGCCGTGTCAACTCTTCAGGAAATGGCACCAGGAACAGCATTCAGACCGGTCATTGGTGATTCATCTGTGGATCCGAAAAAGTAATTTGATGTGTTTCTCTGTACTCTCGGATAGAAGTTTAATTGCAGGGAAAATTAGTTCACACTGTTAAAGACTCCAAAGTGATGAAAATCTTTTCTGTTCTGATAACAGTTCTTTAAGTCAGTGGAATGGGAATTAGAATGCGTGCAGGAGTGCACTTCAGAGGGGTATGTTGCTGAAGGGGGATTTGCCGGGACACAGGGGAGGATGAGCCCAGCTGCAAAGCTCCCCACAGCTGCATGAGCAAGCCGTTGACATCTGGTGTACCCTTGTCTCTGAAATCATTCTTAAGGCTATCTCGCCCTCATCCCATTGTCCCTTCCCTCCCCAACAGGGTCAAGACCCTTGTGTTCTGCTGTGGCAAGCATTTCTATGCCCTGCTGAAGCAGAGAGAATCTTTGGGGCCTGAGAAGCGTGACTTCGCCATCATCCGCGTAGAAGAACTCTGCCCTTTCCCGTTGGATTCATTACAACAAGAGATGAGCAAATACAAGCACGCCAGAGGTAAGGCTCTCTGCTCTTAAGATATCTGGAGCCTATTCAGATATCGGCACCCATTCTTTCGGGTGAAAAGAGGTGGTGGGGCAGGGAGAGTTATTAGAAAGTCAAACGTCACGGAGTCCAAGGATATGAGAAAAAGATGAGCAGAGCCAGAGTCTCTGTGTCTCTCTGTCCTCTTTTTTTTTTCTCTAAAATGACTAATGTAATGAGCATTTTGAGGTTAGTTACGCTGTACTATCATTTGTGAGGAATACGGAATAATTATAAAAGATAAGTGTTTTTCAGTAATTAGAGCTGGAATATTGGATGTCTATATGCACTTTCTACAGAAATTAACTCAAAGTTTACCATGAGCTTAAATGTAAAACATAAACTATAAATCTATTAGAAAATAATAGCTGAAAATCTTTATGATTTGGTTTTAGCAAAAAGTTCTTAGTTATGATTTGAAAAATGCATGCTGTGAAAGAAAATTTGGACTTTACCAAAAGGAAAACTTTTGGATTGTGAAAAATGCTATGAAGAAAATAAGACATACCACAAACTGGGGGAAAATATTTGCAAATACTTATTGACAAAGAATTATCTAGCATTTCTTAAAATTTGAAAGTAAGAACCAAATAATTCATTTTTCAAAATGTTCAAAATCTTTGAAAAGGCACTTTTCCAAAGAACTGGATGGCAGATAAACATGCAAAAAGATGCTCATTTTCATTAGTGGTTAAAAAAAATTAAGCCAATATGAGATGTGGCTACTCAGCTGTGAGAACGGCCGAAGTTAAAACAGTAGACTGATGATCCCAACCCTGGACGGCCTGAAAGTAATGAACCTCACTCACTGCTGGAAGGATGCATGCTGTAGCCACTTGGGAAAAGTCAATTTCCTGTCAGTGTAAACTTAAAGTTACCCTGTAATTTAGCAGTCCCACTTCTTCGTATTCACCAAAGAGAAGTGAAAACACATTCACAATCTGTATTCATATATTTTAGCAGCTTTATTCAGAACTGCGCCAAAGTGAAAACAATCGAAATGTCTTTCAACTGGTGAGTGAATAAGCACAGTTCCCTGAAGCAATAAACATCTGTACTGAATCATGCTCCACACTAAAAAGGAGCGCAATATGGATAGGTCATAAATGTGTTTTTGTTAATTGAAAGATGCGAGGCCCCAAATGCTCTGTGCTGTATGATTCCATTTGTGACGCTTTGGAGATCTGTGATTGCCTGTGCTTGGGCATGGGAGGGGGAACTGACTACAAAGGGACAGGATGAGAAAATGTAGGGCGTCGATACAACTCTTTGTGTCATGACTGGGGTGGTTGGTACCTGACTGTGCATTTGTTAGAAAAAAAGATAAGCAACCCTGTGCCATATTTGGAAAGTATGTGTTTAATGGAGGTTGGATAACTTTGTATCTGTCCACATATTTATCCATCCATTCATCCTTTTTGGTATACATATTTACTTTTTTATAGATTTTATCTGGAGCCAGGAGGAGCCCCAGAACATGGGTCCATGGTTTTTTGTTTCTCCAAGATTTGAGAAGCAGCTGGCCTGCAAGGTAATGGCTCTTTTAGTGGGGTATGTGTGTGTATTTGTCCTGGAGTGCCAAAAGATGAGTTTCTATTATCAGTTCAGTTCTCTAAAGATAAAAAATACACAATCTAGCTGTTAAGTCAGGCATAGTGGTGCACTCCTGTTGTACCAGCTACTCAGGAGGCTGGAGCAGGAAGCTCACTTGAGCCCATGAGTTCAAGACTAGTCTGAACAATATAGCAAGACTCTGGCTCCAGGACAAGAAGGAAAAGAAAATCTACATTTAAACTACAGCAGTACCTCAGTTCACAAATGCTTCTGTTTGCAAACAATTTAGTTCAGAAACAAAAGCATTTGGAAAAATTTGCTTCAAAATTTTGCAAACTGTGCTTCAGATAACACATGTGGCCATGGCCACCTTTCCACATACAAACACAAATGTAGAACATAAGTTTGTAAACTGAGGCACCATGTATTCCTTTGGAAGGAAACCTGAGTGTTTATGGGGCTGTGTGTACATACTTCGGCTGAGTATCCTTTACCCAAATACCAGAAGGATTTCAGACTTTTGAGCTCTTTGGACCTGGAACTGTTTGCGTGGATTTTATTGACTGAGTATCTCTGAAGTCTGAACTCTAAAATGCTCCAAAAACTGAAACTTGCAGAGTGTCATTTTGATGCTGTAAAAATTTTGCATATGGAGCATTTCAGAATTTGGACTAAGAATGTTCGACCTATAGTATTCTAAGTAGTTATACTCAGAAAAAGTAACCACCTTGCCTGTTGGCCCCTGCCCATGACCTCCCAGGGTGCCTCATGCAGGCCTAGGAGAAGCAGGGTGAGGAGAGGAGGCTCGTTTACAAGGTGCCATACATCAAAGTTTGGTAGACTTTATCTTTGGGCTGCTTTGATTAAAACTTGGTTCCCAATTTTCTCTTTTACACAATAGCTTTCTGGTGTGTTGCTAAAACTTGAGATCCTCTTGCCTCAGCCTCCCGAGTCAGTTCACTCATTTGATACTAGCTGGAGAAACTCAGATCATTTCCACATGTAACTAAGAGAACTCTAAAGCAAAAACAAAATGACAGTTACTTAAAGATAGGACTGATGCAAAACCTTGGTTCACTTTAGCCACCCTGGAGTTTAGTAATTGGTGGCAGTACTGTGTTTCTCTCTAATCTATTCTCTGTAGCTCCTTATTTCTCCAGAGAGTGATTTATGGTTAAGCTAAAAGGAGTGTATGCACCTTTGTGGTGGAACTAGCAGAGCTCTGATCCGATCAAGGTGTTATTTAATTTCTTCTCTGCCCCAACGACAGCTCCACCTCGTGAGCCGCCCGCCCTTGGCAGTGCCCGCGGTAGGAATTGGCACAGTGCACCAGCAGCAGCACAAAGATATCCTCACCAAGACCTTCACTTGCTGATGTCCTTTGAAGAAAGACTACTTCCTATGAGCAAACTGCCTGCTTCCCCAGCTCTGCCCCTTCCCCTCGGGTGACATGAAAAGTCCGGCTTTTTCTAGTAGGTTATGAAACATGGATCAGACTACTAAGTTTTATCCTGAGAAGAACAGCATTATGTTTTGTTTAGATCTGAGTGAGCTGGAGAACCAGGTCGTTAGCTAGGTGATTGCAGGGCCCACTGGATTTAATCACATATGACCGGGAAAAGTTCTTTAGCCAGAATTTAGAGTCATGTATGGATGACCTCAACACTGCTGCTCTGCTTGTTTGATGTATGTCACTTTTGTTAATTTTTCCCTTTCTTTTTCAAGGTCTTATGGCTATCAGTATTTTCATTTTATGTCTTCTCTGGCGCCATTTTCCAGCTACTGTACTAAATGTTCTACCTGATACCAGCAAAACAAGATTATCTCTGAGGATTTATCCATTGTCCTTAAGCTTAGGTCCTATAAAAATACAATCTTGGGATGTATGATCTTCTAGCCCTGTTTTTTTAAATTAAGGAGGTTGAACTATAAGAAAATTGATTTATCATCTGTTTGGCCATAATCTTTTTTTTCCAAGTTGTTCGTGCTATCCACCCTTCTGATTTTTAACTGACTTTGGTGTCTGGTATGGGAATTCCAGCACCTGGTTAATCAGTTTTGCCTCTAAAAGTTCCAGCTGCAGTATGTTTATTTGTGGTATTTAAACAACACTGTAACTTTGACAGAGAGACTTTCCCAATGCTGGGTGTTGGAGGATTTCTTCGAGGTCCCCAGCTGACTCACTCTGAAGTTAAACCTAGGACTGATGCCTAACTGAACCACAAACTGTGGCTTCACTGGACTTGATGCTGTGGAGCCTCCACCAGCTACCATTTTTGTGGGATGATACTGTTTTTCTGAGAAGTGAGGGGAAATACTGGGGCCAGAATGTACCCACTCCCTCTCTGCTTTTACCAGCAGTTAACTGGCCATGGCCTTCAGAATCAGTGTGTAGGCTGTTCTGGCCGCAGCAGTAGATTCATGGCTTGTATCTCCAGGGTGTGGGTCAGTATAATGATTTAACATTTTTAGATCATTCTTCTCTGTCTACCTCAGTGCTTCCTTCTTGTCTCAACCCTTAAAAATCATATAATTTAGCATCACTCATGTAAGCTGGTAAGACCACAAAGGTCTGTTTAATGAGAAAAATAAAAGCATAATGCCATTTTTTCTCAGAAGTCTTGGTTTCTTGAATTAAAAGATTTTAAATGTCTTACTAGAAAATAGGTATTTTTAAAACTTGTTTTAGCTACCTCTCAATTTTTCCCTAACTTTATGCTTACTCCCAAGTTTATGACTTCCTGTTACACCCTTTGCAGCCTGAGCTGAGAGGTAGATCTCTGTGATTTTGACCTTCTTCCTCTCAGTCACATCATTGCCCTTGCAGAAAGGAGCCATTTGAAGAATTCCAGTCCAGTATGTATTAGCTTTCCGTTGCCAGCACTATGAAACAAATGCATTGCCTTATTTTATTTTCTTAAAAATTAACTAATGTGATATTTGTATTCTGTTTGTATCTATTACCTGTGTCTGTAACAGTTTCATATTCAATGAAAAATAGAACTTAAATTTGATAATCATTAAGTCAAAATATTAACCATGGGAGAATGTTAATTTTGCTTAAACGACACATTACTCGTAGTAAAATAAAATTTTATTCTTATAAGAACCATTTTGCTCAGTTTTTTGTCTTCCATATGAATAGTATTTGGGAAAATACTGTGAAACATAGACTTCTTTGATTTTTTTGCATTGCCTTTGTGAATTTGGATGTAGCTCAGTGGTAGCTATTTTGCTTAGCATGGATGAGGTCCTGGTTCATTTCCCAGAACAGGCAAAAAGGAAAAAAAAAAGTTTACTGGACTGACAACCAACATTATTCCCAAAATTGAAGAAATAAAGGGTTACAAAGAAAGGAAGTCACAGATTATGAATCAAGTCTTTTGCATGTCAAGTTTCCAAAGCTTCACTTACATTTTTATTGAGTGTACTTGGACATTTGGTTTTCAACCACAGCCCAGAAACAATTTTTGTGGGGAAATTCAGACAAAGTTTTTAAATCCTTAATATATAACTATTAACAAAAACCTCCCAAGTTACTTTATGGAAATGATTATTTGATGTCATGTTTTCATTTAAATCTGATAAAAAGTCTAAAGCAGACTCATTTTCCCACTGCGAATTACAAAATTAGTTAATTTTAGGAAAAATGTATTCAACTTGTGTTACTTTAGTATTGCTGCTATATTGTTCCATGTCTCCTCTGACACATGATGAACCAGCTATAATTGAACAAAAACAAGAAATGGCCTTTTAAGTGTAAAATGGAATTTCATTAACAGATATGTTATTGAACAGCTATGCCAGAATGGCATTGTTTTGGATCTTAGAAATACATAGAAGTAAAAGATAAAATGGGTTTACCTTGGTCTTCAATGAACTAACAGTGTGAAAAGACAAAGCATCTTACCCTGAGAGAGGCAAATTTTCTGGTTGAATTTGTTAAGCCAATGAGAGACATCAAGGTAGAGGATCCTCCTGACAGATGTAGACTAGGTAATGATGCGGTGTGGGTCTGCAGTGGCCCCCAGAGGTTCAAAGGTGCCTCTCTAGGAGCTGCTGGGAGGAGGTGGGTCCTAGTGGAAGTGTTCAGGTCCCAGAGGGTGTGTCCTTGAAGGGATCATTCCACCCCAGTGCCTTCATCTTCTGTCTGCTGGTTTCTGTCCATTTGGTGAGCAGTTTTGTTCCACCATGCCCTCCCCACTCAGATGTGCCATAGGCTAAAGGGCCAGGACCAAACCATCATGGACTGGACCCTCTGCAGCCACAGTCTGACTCAAACCTGATCTCTGGTTAGGTTACCTTGGGTATTTGTGTAATGATGGAAAGCTGACCAACAGCAGTCGCATCTATAGTGATTGGACAGGGAAAAGTCCTGAGTAGTGTATAGTCTATCTAGAAAGACTGAAGAATAGTAGAAATTTGCCAAAGTTATCCATAGTATCAAAGTGTACTCCCAGGCTCTTTCTTGAAACATGGAACTATCCCAGAAATACACAGTAAAGAGAGGGATAGGATACTCTTCTTCCATCTGTTGGAGTGTCAATGTAGTTCATCCTTATTGAAAGGATACTGTATTCATGCAGTTCACTGACAATTTTGTGTCAATCTAATGTGGGATCCTGATGACAAAAATTAAGACCCCTCAAGTTTACCATGTAGTAGGGGAGATTGGACAAGTATGAAAATGACTAACACAGAGTACAGTGAGGTAAAGATGAGTTAGAAGAGTGGGAGATTGCAACTGTAGTAAATTGTTTTCCCAAAATGTCTATTGCTTCTTCCAGAAACTTCCTTCTCGAGGCGATGTCTTTTGTTCTCCTTGAAGCTGAGCAGATCTTCCTGGCTATCTACAAACAGTGCAGTACATGAGATGCTGAGTCACTTCTAGGACATACCTTGGCACCCAGCAACCCCGTCTAGAGGAAGCCCAGGCCTAACGGAGGAGCCATGTGAAGGTAGTAGAGCTCGGAGCCAGAAAATATATAATTTTCTTATTTGGTGTAGATCTAAACATTAGAACACATCATTGGATCTGGCTGTGACTGTTATTAGTTACAGTATGTTTAGTTACAGTAGGGGAGGAGTTTCATAGCTGTTAACTACATATAATATATCACATTTTTATAAAATTTCAGGAAAAATACAGATTGGTCTGTCGGTCTCATCGGATCTCCGTGGCTCAACCCAGGCTTTTGGTACCTGGGTTTTTTTTCTAGTACTGGGGACTCAAATTGAATCCAGGGCCTTTGCCTTGTTCTACATCCTCAGCCCCACCCCTACTGCGCCCCGTTTTAAAAATTTGAAGCAAATTCTCGCTAAACTGCCAGTTTGCCCAGGCGGGGATTGAACTCGCGACCCTCCCGAGTCCTTCCCCGCAGAGGGCTGGGGCGCCTTGCTGCAGACTCGGCCTTTCAGCAGATCGGTCAGCCCCGCCCCTGGACGCCCTCCGCACCGCGGCGGTGGCCATGGTAACGCGGCGGCACCCAGGCAGCGAAATCCCAAAGCTA